GAATTTTTCATACTGCATATCTCTGGATGTGCTCATGGAAGAGTACTGGAACTTGGTATGTACAAGATATAGAAAATCAGTCGCGTGGTCATGAAGAAAAATTGGGGCTATTGGAAAAAGGGGCGTGGCACCTCCCATGGTAGATTACTCGAAAATGGCGTGGAGATATATGAAATAAATCCCATGCTCTTAGAGAAAATTGGGGCTATTTCATAAGGGGCGTGGCGCCTTTCAAATGCGCTGAAACTATTACGTATCTTTGAATGCATGTACAGTTTTGCTAGGTTATTTAAGACGGAAATAAATATGCCTTCTGACAACCACCAAACCGTAATATTGGAAGATAAATGCGTCACTGAAAACCATGAAGGTCAACTGTTGGTGAAAATGTTGGACCAAAATGTTTCAATACAAAAAATTTACTTTGGGTGGGACGAAGTTCGCCGGATTTGCTAGTATATATATGTTTTTTTAAGTGATCTAATCACTTTTTTACTTTTGTCAAAGAATATGGTAGCTCGATTTCAAAGAAAATGCCAAAGGCACAGGTTACGTCAAATGGGAGCAATGGCGGCTAAGAAGAAGAAGTGAAACTACCTTTAAATATTTGTATCATGGTATGTACATACATATGTACGTATAAGTTACATATCTGTCACGGTTTCTTCATGATATATTTTCCAAAAACACAAAATTGTTTTGAACGAGGTGCGTATAGCTCCCATATCGATAAAAATGGAGACTCCTGGATTGCTCGCTTAGGAGACATCGCTTTTTGCTCCTAAAAGAGTAATAACGGAGTACAAAACCAACAAATCTTAGTTATTGCTCCGAAATCCTGCCTCAGGGAGTATTCTTTTATTGCTCACTTGGGAGATCTCCTTTTTGGGTCCTAAGCGAGTAATAAAGGAGTACAAAATCGACAAATATTACTTATTGCTCCGAAATCATACCTTTGTTATTCACTTAGGAGATCTCCTATTTGACTCCTAAACGAGTTACAAACGAGGTCAAAACCGACAAATCTCTCGTATTCTTCCGAAATCAGGTCAAAGGGAGTTCTCTGTTATTCCTCACATTGGGAGCTCTCCCTTCAAGTTCTAGTGGGTAGATGTAGATTCTGTAGAATGACTGGAACTTGCAATCATCTTCTGAAAGTTCTAGCGCGGCAATGTAGAGGCGTTTTGGGTCATTATTTTTTATGTAGGAATGCACCCAGTATCTTCTGCGCCTTCTCATTCGGCGGCGTCGCTGGAAAATGATGATGACATCGCACTCAAAAATTTTATTTATTTTGTATGACAACAGAAAACTCAATGTGTTGAGCGATCGTGACGACCAGTGTGAAGAAGGACGGGACGACAAATGTGCTCAGGGCCTAACTGTACAAAGAAATTTTGAAATAAAGATTACACTGGTTAACTGCAAAAATGTTCAATGGATGCCACTATCCAATTCCTATGTAGAATTGCTCGGTGAAAATCGAGTTAATTTGTTTTCTATGGATACGTTTTCGAGATATATGCAACTTACAGTTATTCAGCTTAAAAAAAGAGTGGTTCCACTTAATCACGTATATCTCACGAAACAATTGAACAGTCGTAATACGAAATACGACAGATGAATGCGAATGAAATTCTCCATAATGCTGCATTTCTACTATGCATTAAATGACAAAAGTGAGGCATTAAAAAAATAATCGTGTCATTACGTTAAAAAAGTAGTCATTAATTTCAATTTCAATTTCAATTTATTTGTTTTGTTTTTGCACATAGTAAGACTAAATAAGTCTTGTGGTAGTACAACTTGTAATTTAAAATAACAAATTTGGTATACATACAAACGCAACTTAAAATTTCAACTATTATATTTATAGACTAGGGCTAATTACTAAGAGTGAGAAAGAGAGAAAGATTGTGAGGAGGGGGGAGGGGAGATTATAGGTCAGAAGTAGTTAGAAACTGCAGTTTTAAAACACCTTGCTTGTTTTATTAACTTTATTTCACTCGGTATTGTGTTCCATAGTTTTATGGCGCTAACAAAGAACATACGCTGTGAGTCCAAGTATGAATATGCGGGAACAATCAGATTCAATGTTCGGATACACTGGCCTAGTTTAATGTTTTTGTACAGGTACATGTACAGGTTTTTGTGTGTATATTAATTTATGCAAGAATACAAGAGCCCGGATGTTGAAATACGAGTTTAAACCGTGACCCAGAATCTGTTTGGAATAATGAGATATATGGTCAAATTTTCTTTTCTCAAACACGAAACGCGCTGTGTTATTTAAAGCGATTTGCAATTTATGCTTTTGAGTTATTATCAAGACTGCAATACACCAACTCTGCATACGATACATGCGGAACAATTATTTATTTATTTAAGTCTATGAATTTCAATCCTTACAGACTATTTACAAAAGTAACTTAGTACAGACTATTAATATACATTAAAAATATATTTCATTAAAAAACTATAATATAGAGTTCAAAAGATTCAAAAAAGCAATCCTTGAAAGTGAAAAATCCAGATCAGCATTACTATTAAGGGAATTCAATTCACGTAAAGCGCGAGTAATGGGGGCATTACTGGCGTACTTAGTTTTATAGTTATCCACATAAAAAGGGTAGAAGTTCCGAAGAGATCGCTGGGGAACATTAAATCGAATCCTTTCCAACAAGTAAGGACAATCAATGACTGCAGTTATGATATTTCGAGTAAAGGACAGGCACAGTATAGACCTACGAATTTCTAAGGACTTGAGACTTATAAGCATGAGACGAGCAGAATAGGATGGTATGGAATCCACAAAGTTCAAATACCGAAGTGCAAACTTAAGAACAATTTTTTGTACACGTTCTATTCTATTGATACCTTGCTGGCTACTTGGTCTCCAAACAAAAGCAGCATATTCTAAGTGTGACCTAACAAACGATACATAGAGTAACTTGATTGTATAGGGATCAGAGAACTTAGAGGCATTCCGTCTTACGAAACCCAACATGGAGAAGGATTCGGAAGTGATATAATTTATGAGGTTATTAAAAGAGAATTTATTATCAAAAATGACGCCAAGGTCCTTAATCTCACTAACACACTGAAGGTCACAAGTCGATATATTGTACGTAGCAGGTATAATGTTGGATATTTTCGAGTAAGTCATTTGAAAGCACTTAGACAGGTTCAGTGAGAGCCGTGACTTCTGGCACCACAAGTAAAGCCTATCAATATCAGTTTGAAGCATAATGGCATCTTCTGGGGTCTTAATCGCTGAGAAAATCTTTAAATCATCAGCATAAAGCAAACATTTGGCAAATGAAAAGCAGCTTGTGATATCATTAATAAAAAGTACAAATAGGAGTGGTCCCAAGACACTTCCTTGTGGGACTCCAGAGGAGGCAACAAAGGGGGTAGATGAAATACCATCAAATGTAACAACACAACGTCTATTGCATAAGTAAGAGTTTATCCATTCCAGAAAAGCAGAGTGAACACCAAGACAACCAAGTTTTTTAATTAAGACTCTGTGAGAGACTTTATCGAAAGCCTTCGAAAAGTCGGTGTAAATGCAGTCGACCTGAAAACCAGCCGAGAAAGACTCAATGCAGTATTCACTGAAAACAGCTAGATTCGATACTGTAGATCTATCGGCGACAAACCCTGATTCGGGCAAATTAAAGATTTAACCGCAAAGCTCAACTTTGCATTGATTGCGTGTTCATATTTTTGAGATAGTCGAGAGCTTAGAAATGGGCCTATAATATCCAAAGCAGGACAATTTTTTATTAGAACTGCTGAAAGACCATCGACATCAGTTTGGGAGGAAGATTTCAATTTAACCAAAGCGTTACTAATATCCTCAGATGAAAGGCATAGAGCCTCGAGGTCCAAAGAGTAGTCTAGATTAGAGGAAAAGTCGCATGGCTGATCATGGTCTTCATCAACAAAATTGTATTTAAAAAACTCAGCAAATAAATTTGCCGCTTCACTTGAGGTTTGGGCATAATTATTATCCAAAAATACGCCGGTGGGAACACTAGCGCAGCTCGTTTTGGATTGTAATTCCAGAAAGTCTTAGGATTCGATTTAATGTTCAACTCCATGCTAGAAATGTAGTTATTATAAAGAAATTTATTTAAGTAGTTGAAATTTTTTAAAGCTCGTTTATATTTAACAAAAAACGAATGGTTCTTCGTAGATTTAAACTTCTTAAAATAATTGTTTTTAAGATTTTTAAGCTTTTTTAAATCCTTAGAATACCAGGGTAATCTATAGGGTTTTTTCTTTCTAATCGGAATATTATCCAAGCAGAGTTTACACAAAATGGATTTAAAAGTAGTGAAACTGCTAAATGTATCAAGATCTGCAAATAAATTATCCCAATTAATATCGAGTAGTAATTCATTAAAGCTAGAAAAATCGCATAATGCATAATTAAAAGGTAATATGTCATCAGAAGGTACTGAAGAAAAACAGTAAAAATCGAGTTTGACAACTAAAGGTAAATGATGCTTATCTTTAGGAGTTACTGGATTCAAACATTCACTAACTTTGTAGCTTAGGTTATCACTTACAAATATGAGATCCAAAATTCTATTCAGAGAATTAACGAAATTATTAACTTGACATAAATTAAGACTAAGAATATTATCAATAAAATATAATTCATGATTTGCAGACACGTTAGTTGGTGTAAGACTATAATTAGAAATACTAGCAGACCAATTTATCTTGCATAAGTTGAAATCACCTAGCACACATAAATGATTATCATTTAGGTTATTTAAAACTAGAGATGCCACGTTGTCAGCATGAGCTTTGTACAACTCAAATGAACTATCAGGCGGTATATACGAAGCGAGTAGGTAAATGGAATCTTGCGCGGAGTGACAACTTATACCAACACAAATTTGACCGAGCAGAGAGTCATCATTATTGAGTGGAAACAGGAATGCACGGATTTGACGCTTGACAGCAATTACAACCCCACCACCCCGAAGGCAACCCGTTTTTGCAGCATCTCTGTCTTTCCAAAATACATTAAAAAGATTCGAGTCGAAGAACTCACTGTCGAAAAAACTTGCTTTCAACCACGTCTCAACAAAGCAAAGATGTCGTAATCCATTTGCGCACTAAAAGAATGCACAATATCAGCCTTGGTTCGCATGCCGGATAAGTTTTGAAAGTACACCTTGAGACCACGGCTAGGAGGGTCCAAGGTCGTTACTATGTCCGAGGTGGCTGTTGTTGATCCTTTAGAAAAAACTGAAAAGGCTTGACCGAGACATTTGTANGCTTGACCGAGACATTGTAGGCCAAATTTCCAAGCTCAGCAACTTCGCGTACGAGGATTCCGGAACTCCCCACTTAAAATTAACTCTCTTAATAGTTGATACTGGGACATTTTTCTTAACCAGTTTGAAGCAGGATAACAAATTTTTATCTAAACCAGTTTGCTTAAAAACATAATCTTTAATGTTATCCTCAGATACGGAAGGCGAGAAAGAACCTAAATGCAACCATTTATGCCGGACCGCAACGTCCAAATCATTACATGCATTTGTACCGAAAACACGCACTTGTTTTTTGTTCCTTTTCTTCGTAGCCGTCGACCACTGTGCATTATTAACCTCAGCAGTAGGCGCAATAGAAGCAGGTGGGAGAGCATCATTGGAGACGTCAGCAGCTGGGGCCGAAAACTTAGCATGTGTGTGTGTAGAGCGCATACAGCAAGCAGCAGTGTTCACTTTAGGGTCAGTGCAGGCAACAACATTTTTTTGTGCCGACATCTCAGTGTGCGAATTTGTATCAGCAGATGACCAAGCATTATCAGCAGATAGAGAATTAGCAGCGACAGCCGAAGAAGCAGGTGAGCGAGCATCAACAGAGAGAGCATCAGTGGAAACTGCAGTAGCAGGTGAGAGAGTGGTAATGGAGACTCCAGCTTTTGGCGTCGAAAAGTCAGCGTGCCTGTGTGTATCAGCGGATGACCAAGCTGTGTTATCACTGCCAAACTTCTCAACAGCAACACCAATAGAGGAGCGAAGGTCTTTAACCTCTGCCATGAGTAAGGCAATCGTATCATCTTTCTCAAGCAGATTGCGCTGCATGGAAAGAAGATCTGAGTGAATGTTTTCAGTTTTTAACAATAAATTATTGTTATCTTCCCGTAAAGCACTGATCAGATTATTCACGCGGGCATTNCTGCATGGAAAGAAGATCTGAGCGAATGTTTTCTGTTTTTAACAATAAATTATTATTATCTTCCCGTAAAGCACTGATCAGATTATTCACGCGGGCATTCTCATTTCGAAGAGCGACAACCACATTGTATAGAGATCCCAATGTAACTTGTTGCTTATTGGTATTGGTATTATCATTTGAATTACCATTTAGCTTTAAAGAGCCAGCGGGCTTTGATTTCACAGAGTTAGAAGAGTTCGAAGAGATAGATTTGGTGATATTAGAAGTTTTTGAATTTTCATCCACGACAACGGGCGGAGGAGGCGAACGGAGGGAATCACGACGAGCTTCAGCACAGCCTTTGCAAATGAAGCTCTTGTCTGAGATGAGCAAAAATTCCTCTTCAAACCTCTTCAAATTTAATATTTATTCCGTCAAGCAATATCGGTGACATAGAGTTAAGGTGATATTTTGAATGAGAAATAGCAATCGCATTCGTTTTTAGCGCATTTAATTTCAAATTGTTAGAACAGAACCAGCTAGTAATACGAGTGAGATCTTCATTAAGCCTTGCTATCAAATCTTCAACAAGGCCAATGGGCCTTGACAAGTAGATCTGCGTGTCATCAGCATAGAGATGAATGGATGAATTTTGGCAACACTCAACAATATCATTAATAAACATGCAAAATAGCATGAGACCTAAAATAGAGCCTTGCGGCACCCCTGAAGTTATCAGTTTTAGTCTTGAGTAGTTCTCACCACATTTGACTTGTTGCAGCCGGTTCGATAAGTAGCTTTTTATTAATTGAAAAGAAAAAGCCCCAAATTTATAATGATAACGCAATTTTTGCAAGAATATGTTGTGATCAATACTATCAAAAGCTTTAGAGAAATCGAGCAACACTAACACTGTTAGATAATTTTTATCATAGGCAGGGCGAACGTCCTCAAAAATTTTAAGCATGGCTGTAGAGCAACTATGCTGACTTCTGAAACCCGACTGGAAATTACTCAGAAGATTATTTTTGTCCAAGTGGCAGGTAATTTGTCGCGCTAAAAATTTCTCAAAAACTTCTGATAGGGCCGGTAAAATGCTTTTTGGTCTGAAGTGCTGGGGAGTGGTAGGACAGTTTATTTTTGGCACAGGTACTATATTTGCCATCTTCCAAAGATATGGAAATGTAGATGGGGCGAGTGAGAAGTTGATTATATGCCTAAGTGATGGTTTACAAATGGTAGGATAATTTTAAGGAATTTAAGACAAATACCATCAGTACCTATAGCATACGACTTTACAGCATATACACACTGTATCAAGTCCGCCTCTGTTGCAGATACAAATTCAAACTCATCATCATCAGCATGCTCCCGTAGAGAAACATTAGCAGGTATTTCGGGTGATACCACTGGGCAGTTAGTTGCTAGAAAGTTCGCGTTTAATATTTCTGGGTCCAGATTACACACACACTTATCCTCCCCTGAGACACCCAGGGATTTAAGGTTCTTCCAAAGGACTTTTGAAGGCCTTTTTGGCTTCTCTGGCGCTTGAAGTCACTTTATTTCTTGCAACACGATATTTTTCCCTATACTCCTATAATTTTTCCATTTCTTATATGCTTTACTACGCTCCCTAATTTAAGACAACACGTCCGAAGTAAACCATGGTTTCTTATTACTACGCACTTTCACTCTACGTACTAGTGCATTGAAATGTTGCAGCTTTTCATCAACTGTTGCGAATGACCAACACATATTCCAGTTAAGCCCAGCAGCCTCCTTGTTTAAGAGATCATGGTTAATACGCTTAAAATCTCTAAAAAACAACTCCTTTGCTTGATTTTGCGTATTGAACTGAATGTTGTAGGATAGGAATATCAACTCATGATCAGAGACTCCAGCCATGGGAAGCTGATCAAAGTGATTGACGTGATCTCTGTCACTGACGCCGAACACATCCAAAAGACTTGGTTTGTTGTGGGGTGCAAAGCGGGTAGCATATTTATTTCGATTGAAATTCCTAACGATTGAAAGCTATCTATCAAACTCCTGGAAGAAAAATCATTACACAGAAGGTCTATATTTAAGTCACCACATACAACAATATGCTCATAGAAGATGGCGATATTCGCCAATTTATCGAATATCACTGAGATGTCATTTCTTTTGCTAGGGTTGTAAATGCATGCAACAAGACACTTGGTGTTATTATCTTAAAATTCAGCAAAAATGTACTCGACTACCTGTGAATGATCTGATCTGCAAATCTCTTTCCATTTAAAATTATTTTTAAAATATAGAGCAATGTCACCACCTCGAGTCTTCGTTGTCCTAGTCGCACAGAGAAACTGCTTTATCATCAATATGGTCTTTAAACCATGTCTCTGTGATACATATTAGATCGATGTTCAAGTATCAAAAACAAAATTTAAATAGTCAATTTTCTCATCATTCAAACTTCGCGCATTCAAGTGACAAACATTGCACCCCTTGTAGCGATTGGAGATTAGTTTAAGCATTCCTCTTGCATGTTCTTTGTCATCTTGTTTCGCTGTTTCGTTACACAGTGGCAGTTCATGGTTGAGAGGGTAATGCAAGGTGTATTTAAACTGGCAGTTAGAAGAAAAGGCGGTGGGATTTAAATAAAGCAAGGGAATGCGGAAATAAATATAAATGATATCAAAATAAAAAAGATTCCATTGCAAGGAAATACGGAAATAAATATAAGTGACATATAAGAGAATATTAGCTCAGGCATAACGGAGTGGATACAACGCAAAGTATTAACAAATGTTTGTTTACTTATTGGCAGCTGCAATTCTCTCTATAGTCGCTTTGTCGGATACTACTACAGCTTCAGTTTGCGGACGACCTCTGACGAACACTTGCCCACGAATAGAGAACGTCGACGTTAGAATTTTTTGCTTCTTTAGCTGGGTAGCAAAGTGCATTAGCTCTCGATTTCTTTTTGTAAGACATTCGTGGATAAATAGCTTCCCTTCGATACTGAGGCCAACATCGCTAAGAGCAAGCGACCGTCTCTTATCTTTGCAGTATCTCGCTACAGCTCTCAGTAGTTGAGAGCGATCTGCAGCCGAGCTCAATTTGACGATAACGGGAGCTTCGTTTTTACCATTTGGTCGTAAGCGGAAGGCAGAACGCGCTGCGCTAGTTTCACTTGAAGCGTTTGACACAGCTGGGCGAAACCATTAAGAATGTTCTTATCTTTTCCTTCGGGCAATCCACTAACAATAACATCCGATGATATTAGGTTCTTCTTATAGGCATTTACTTGTTCGGTCAGGGCATATACCTCGTTGCGCAGTTTCTCAACATTACCACATTACCACATTCCGATTCCGTTTTTTTCACACGCTCCTCGATATGCTTAACCGCCGATTTCAAGTTTATAATTTCTGCTGACAACTCGCTGAACCGCTCTATTACTCGCTCTTCCGATTCTCTTAATCGTAACGTTAGCTGTTCAATTATGCTCAGCTTTGAAAGCAGTGCTTGAAACATCAGTAATGAGAGACTTACTCTGTACTGGAGGGGTTTGCGGATATTTTTGGCATAAATATTAGACAGACCAAACAATACACGGAAATTTAGCAAAGGTTTTAAATTCACAATATCGCAGATAAATGAAAGTTTATGCAATTTCGATTTACACGGACAGCAGAACCGCTTACAAAGATTGTCGTGGTTTTTTTTTTTAGTAAAATAACACCCGGTAGATTTAATAAAACTTGGAATAAACTGCAGCTACTCAAAAACATTTCTACTCTGCTGACATATCTTCTGATAATGAAGTTCATTTCCACATGGCATTTTCTTAAATGGCATAAATTGTTTGTCATTTAAAGGCCTAGTTTAAATTCGGCATAAACCGTACATCACTTTTCGATAGGTCTGAGAAATTAATTAACAAAAAAATAAAAAACAAAACAGTCGTTATTTACTCAGTGAGATTCGAACTTGCGTACCTCAATATACCGTGCAAACTCTTGCTGTTAAACTTGAAATTGTGGTCGTTGCTGTGATATCTACTTTTAAGTATTAGAATTATTTGAGCGAACCCTTCATTTAAAGTGAAAGTACATAACGTCCATTGCGTCACCGTCAGTTTCAACGGTGCTTATGCGTTAAGTCACAAACTATCCGTTTTAAATTTGCGTCCGTAAAATCAAAAACTCACTGCTACTCTTTGCAAAAATTTGTTTGTACTTTGCACTTCTATTATCTTTTCTTCCATCATAACTATTTTAAATATGAAAACAAAACACATTAGTTGTAACTTCACGCAAACACATAAGCAAAGTTAAAAGTTGAGTTAATTTGTGCGTCACCGCCTCCGCCAGCTTTGTGCATTGAACTTACTTCATACAAATACACCGATACAACTTTTTTGACAACTGACGGTGAATGTGACGCAAGGGATGTTAAGTTATAGTTTGGTTCAACGAAAACTTTTTGAAGGCCAATTTTGGTGACAAAAGACGAACTGTCGAGATAAGGGCCATCATCCTCCGCGTGTTAGCCCCCCATCTCTTCTCACTCGGAGATTTGATATAAAATCATCTCTTGTAATAGTTGTGAATTTTTGAATATGGAAAGATGTTCTAATTTTATTTTCAACACTGTACTTACGCACCACGGTTAGCGGACATCCGCATGAAAAATTCTCGCAACTGCGCTGGAGTTTTAGGATGTATTCTCATCGTACAATGTATGTATGTAGATGCAAAACATCTGCTGGAAGCCCGATTTTTATAAATAGCATCGCGTGTAATTAATATTGCCTTTGTATTTGTGTATGTCGAACTATACAATTTAAGTATCTTATGCATAAGTATCAACGTGCCAATAGTACGCACTACGTATGTGTATACATATGAAGGTGAATACATGAGTATATACTATGTAGAAACACATGCATTTGTCTATATACAAAGTAGACATTCTCTCGAATCATTGGCACATATCTCCACCCATTTCGAAATGAAATTTTGAAATAATTCAAAGAACAACTCTATTCTCTTCCAATAGATGACGGAGAAGGTCATGTTGGTACTGTTTGTGAGATTGGACGCTCTGGATCGACACACTCACCTGAAAATACGGTTGTAATTAATTGGGATTCTGGACATAGAACAAATTATCGTGTTGGCTACCAAAATCAATACGATTTAATTATTGTTGATAACGCACAAGTTGGTAAGTAGTCGCGGCGGCAATTAAGCAACAAGATAATTTTCATGTGTAAAATTTTTATTACATTTTTTACATATGTATATGTATGTATAACTAAAAAATATATGTACATACATACAAGAAATAACGGCGACAAATGTCAACGAGGTCGTACTCGTGCATGCACCAACATAACTGTAACATTTAAATCTCGTTGGATTCTCTACTTAATCTAGTTATCAGTCATTTAGTTATCAGTGTTCATCTCGTTCCCTAATTAAAAGTTTTGAAATGTTGAACAAAAGAAGTGCTATTTTGGAATTGCATCGCCAAGAAATATGACAATGTGAAATTGTTCGGTTGCTCGACGTTCCTCGCCAAACTGTTTCCAATTCAGCGGTTCAATGAACTTGACCATGAAGGTGATCGTCTGGGACGTGAAAGAAAACGAACTGCCAATACACCAAGGAAACGCCAGATAATTAAAAAGCGAGTTCAGCGAAATTCAAGGCTTTCAATGAGAAAGATTCCCCGCGAAACTGGTATTGGTCGTGAAACTGTTCGTCAAATTGCGAAGAAGGAGCTTCGCATTAAGCCGTACAAAATTCCAAGAGCGCAGTTGCCGCAAACGCTCACTGGGAAAAAATTCTTTTTGCACAATCGTCAAAATGATAGGATCTGGTCGACACACGCTCCTGGTTCATCACACATCATCGAGCACCGCCAAAATCCCAAATCTGTGATGGTTTGGGCTGGAATTTGTTCATCCCGCAAAACACCTCTGATTTTCGTGGATCAGGGGGTTAAAATCAATAGGGAAGTTTACCGTTGCAACATTTTGGAGGCTGTGGTACTTCTTTGAGCCCAAGAGCATTTTGGCGAACAGGAATGGACATTCCAACAGGACTTGCTCACAGGGCATCAGAAATTCAAGACTGGTGCAAAGAAAATTTTCCGAACGTTATCACAACTGCAGAGTGCCCACCGTACTCACCAGATCTTAATCCCATGGATTACAGAATTTGGTAACTTTTGGAGGCCAGGGCTTGTGCTAAACCACACAAAAGTTTGGAGTCCCTAAAGCAATCACGGCGCCGTGAATAGGATCTTATTTCGCTAGAGGAGCTGCGGCGTGTGGCCGAAAATTTTACAAAACGTTTAAAGCTCTGCGTTGGTGCTAAGGGAGGCCACTTTAAAGTCGGTTTAAACACAAATTAGTAATGCCTAGTACTATTGTAATTATACATAAGTCGTTTCTTTAAATTTTGCAAAATTAACAGAAAAATATGCAAAAATGCTTGTCCCCGTTATTTCTTGTCACCCTGTAGTATGCACGATGTTAGCGAACAAAGGTGGCGCGTTACGCAAACTGCTACTTTGGTTTTGCCAACTTTGTTAATTCTTAAGTAAAAGTAAACAGCGCCTCACAAATTTTAAAGCACTGAAATTCACTAATACTTTAAAAAATCACCATTTTTTAACATTTTCTGTATTAAATCTTTTTATAAATCATATATGTACATATTTTTACAATTTAACACAAATAAACTACGTTTCCTATCGAAAAACTGAAAATAAGGAAAATTTACTGTTTGGTAGTTTCTTTTATCTCCTATTCGTTTACTTTTACTGAAGAAATGTCATCGCCGACGAGATTGCGCAATTTTGCATTCTATTTATCATTCTTGCATAGTACGTTGATTTCTTCCTCTTTTTCGTATCACTTTTATTCGCGGATATCAACAGTAATAAAAATATTTAAATTCCTGTGCTTTTACCACTGATTAATTTGTATAATTTTTTATAAATTTTTAACAAAGATTTCAATTGCATATTTCAGGTGTACGCCATTCGAATGTTGTTTGTGATGGCTGCTCTAAGCCGGGAATAGCTGGCATTGTTTTTAAATGCGCCCAGTGTTCGAACTACCATCTCTGTGCTTATTGTTATGGTGCGGATTTGCACGAAACGGATCATTCATTCATTCGTTACACAACGCCTACATCGCTAGGGTATGTTTGAATTGTTTCAGTTAATATTATTTTATTGATTTGACTAATTAACAACCTATAAGTTGATTAACGGGTTATAACTAAAAATCTGCACTAATTAAAAAAAACAAATCAATTAAAATTCTGGGAGCTCTTAATATTTATTTTATTTTATTTATTTATTTATTTAAGGGGGAACAGTGTTTGTACATGTAAGACAATAATCTTTTAATAGTACATGAACTTAATTAAGTAACATATTATTGAATTTATTATTCTATACATATCGTGACTAGACACGAATAAAGGCGCGAGCTCAAAGTTTTACCGCGAAAAAAGACGCATAACAAAACTTCAACGAAGAAAGACTCTTTAACATGTTGACGACGAAGAAAGACGCTTAGCTTTTTTCGCCGTCAACTAGGCTACGCATCTTTCTTCGCCGAAGTTTTCTTAACCGTCGTCAAAACACTAGCACTTTATTACCAACGACCACATCCTCGAATTTCGTGCTTCTCCTTTAATAGCTTTAAAATAATGCCGGCCAAAACGTTCACATTGTGCTGTTTCGCCTGCGTATTTTCACACCAACGCTAACGATGTGTATGCACGAAGTTATGCTTTCGCTTCTCACGCGCTTGGCGCACACACTTTAATATTCGTGTGGTCGGCACTTCTTTAAAACATAAAAATAATTAAAAGGGCATTTTCAATATCATTTCGTCCTTCTGAACAAAAAAAATAATATTTCTTTTTCATTTTACCCGGCTTCGCTGCGCTGTATTGTTACTCCCTCCCAAAACTCTTATGGCTTCATTCATAAAAAATAAAATAGATTTGAAGAGTTTTATGAAATGAGATTTTCAAACAAGTTTTCGAAACATACTTTATTTTTTATGAAACATACTTTTTATGAATAAGGGTGTTAGTTTCAATACTTTCGAAGGTACTTAATCCTGGAAATTTGTTTTATACTCTTATAACTCGATTCTACGTATCGTACGCTTTCTTCAAAGATGTATTTATTCCGTATTTACCTTATCTTATCACCAGAATAAAATTTTTCAAATAGGTGGTAACAAGCTACAAAAATATTTTCGGCAGTAAACTTTCTTAAACCCCTTTACTTTGATACCTGTGTTGTAACGTTTAATTTATTTTATCAATTTAATAATTGAATAAAATTTGTCAAACAGGTAGCAACCCTCCTCACAATTTTTTTTTGTAGTCAGCTTTCCTAAACCTCTTTAGTTTGATACCCATATTGCAATATTTAATTTATCTTATCGATTAAATTAAATTAAAATTTTCAAACAGGTGGCAACCTTCCACAAAGATATTTTCGACTGTTAGCATTCTTAAACCTCTTGCTATTATTGGCCATATTGCAATATCTAGTTTATCTTATCAATTTTAAAACTGCAATTTTCAAACAGGTGGCTACTATCTAATTTCTAATTTTTCCTATGTTTTTAGTTGGACCTTGGTGAAAGCTACATTAGATTCCATGCATTAGTTTTCGAATGATGCACGTACAAACATACAGACAGACAGACAAAAATTCTAAGGGCCCTTTTCCCAAGTAACCTGTAACTTTGAAGCTCACTTTATATTTAAAGGTTGCATTAAAATTTATGATTGTGTCTAAAGTAAAGCATTTTATTATCGGTTTTACCCTGGGATTCAGTAATTCAGTCGCATCTTAAGTCACTAAATTTGAGATTAGCAATTAGTGACTATTTTTGTGACTTGAGACGATTGGGATATTCAGAAGGAGAGTCACAAAAAGTTCACCAAAAATTTGTGGTGAAATCAAACACAGACAATCAACTGATAGTGTTTATGTATGCCTTTTGCCCGCGCCGCTCAAAGAGTCTCAATGGCCGAGTGGTCAAAGCATTAGGCTGGCAGCTCGCTTCCCTTGAGGTCACTGTGTGCGTGCGAACAAGCGGTCCGGTTGAATGAAGCTTTCGCAGCCTACTAAAGCAGAGCGTGTATGTATATGCGAATATGCCCGCCGGGCAGGCGCCGCCCTGGTCTGCTTTAAATATAAAGTGAGCTTTGAAGTTAATGGTTACATATGTATGTGGGGCAAAATTTGCCAAGTGTCACAAGTTTTCTTAAAATTCTTATCTCAAGTCACACTTATGATAGAGAATCAGTAGTAGCAGTTTTTGAGATATAGCCACATTTCGCGTTTTTGAGATCCTAAAAAAGTCTACTCACTTAATTGCAATGTTCTTTGGATGTAGTTGGCCAATCTTAAATTTCTTTTTGTATTAGTAAAGACTTTTAAATTTGCTCTCAACTGCATCAACGTATTTCTTTATCGTCTTGATAGCATTATCTAATGCAAACGCGACGTTGAGGATACAAATATTACAATTTTATGTACATATCGTCGTTTAAAGTACAAAACCGCGTATCAACAAAATGCAAAACCGCGTATGTGAGGTTGCATAAATTATTTTCTAGAAAGTAAAAACACTCATATTTCAAAATGGTTCTCTGATTTATAAAGCAATCACATTTCTGACTAGTATATTTCAGGACGAAGGGATAAGGATTGAGCCAAGAGCTTATGTAAGCAAATCAAATTTTTGGCAGCAAACGTCAGTTACGCAGTTTTGCAGAATGATGATACGCGGTTTTGTACTTTAAACAACGATATGTACCTTAGGGCGTATGGGAGATTTTTTCGACTATGCGCGTATTATGGCACAGAAAAATTCTATGTGTAATTCTAAGCGAATTTTCCGAAGAAACCATGGGTCAAAATCAATTTGGAGTTTGCCAAATTGCGAAAATAGGTTTCTTAGCATTTTGCTGTAGTGTAGAGGAATCTATTTTTAACCGACTTCCAAAAAAGGAGGAGGTTATCAGTTCCTCGGAATATATTTTTTTTTTATGTATGTTACCGCATAACTTTGGACCACGTCAACCGATTTCGGTAATTCTGCATTGGAAAAGGTAGTGTCTCAGAGGTGGTCCCATACTAATCTGGTTTACATCCGATCTTTGGATCATGAAATATATACAGTGACGAGCAAAACTGTAACATGGTGTAACACTTTTTATTTCAGCCACGGCAGGGGCGCACCCAGGAATATATTTTAGGGGGGGGGGGGNCATATAAAACGACGGACGAGAAATGGAAAAGAAATTTTCTTCTACCAAATTTTCATAAATCAGTTTGCAGCTCTCAAGAAAAAAATGCTCGTATATTTATTTCCTCATGAAAATTTACAGCAAAAGCAAAGCGCTTTTTCAGCAACAGAAATTATAATAAATATTTCTTATAATTTCCTTGAGAGCTGGATTCTTAGCTTTAAGATATAGTTTGTATTTGAGGTTATTAGCTTTAGGGGGGGTTTGAACCCCAAAACCCACCCCTTGTGTGCGCTAATGAGCCACCGCTATATTTCCAAGTTCTAACGACTTTCATCCTTTTGTTGTATATTCTTGTTGGTACATCCTCACTCCCTCTATCATAACGATTTGAAGTCAATACAACAACAATAAAAAACAGCAGACAAAAATGTAAATTAAGGCAAATGTTACAGTTTTTCGCTCACTCTCAGTTTTACCGTTATCTTTTACTTAGTTGGAAGGCAGATGACTTTTCTGTATTGTAATTTATTGAAGAAGTGATCACCAGTAAATAATATGGTTAATCCGGAACCATAAATTTAAATAATAGATTTACTGCGGAAAGGCGAGACCGCAGGAAAAGTGGCAAAAAATTGTGGAGTTTGCTACTTGAAAATGTTAAGACTGAGAAGAAATATAGCCTAAAGTGTTCCCAAGGAAAAAGGAAGTCTGTCAAAAAATATTACAGTCCGACAGAAGCGCTTAAGGTATTGAACTTTAATGCAAATCAGTAGACATCGAGGCGAAGAATTGCCAAATTGAGCGCAAAGGCATCATAAAAGAAGAAAAATTTGATCAAAATACATGTGCGATTGTGGCAGCATTTTGCTGTATCGCACGAAAACCGGACCGTTGCCTATTGGTATATGTTAGGCCTTTCAGAATGCAATAAAAACACATTTGTAAGTTGCAATTGAAGGGGTTATTTGGTCTGATAAGACTAAATTAATCGCTTTTAATTAGATGGCCGGGCATGGTATTGGATGAAAGACCCAAATTAAGCCCACGCGCCTCATGTAAGGCAAACTGTGAATCACAGTGGTCGGTCAATAATAGTTTGGGGTTGTATGTCAAAAATATTGTTGATCCGTTAGTACGCATTATGCTTAAGGAACAGTATCTGTTGATATTTCAACAAAATTTGCAAGATTTAGACGAAAAAATCAGAGTTTCTGCTAAAAAATCACCCAAAACACACTGGTCATGTTCGCAAAGACTGGATACAAAAGCGAAAATTTGCTAATTTGAAATGACCTCCACAATTCGCGGACATGAATCTCATCGAAAATTTGCGAAATCAACTAAAAGCACAGTGATGTAATGTGGAACGATTTTCCGTCATCCCTTGTCAAATTTGGTTTGGAGACAAACCACTTTCGGCGTTGTGCCATCTTCAGTGTCATTTTTCGTTCTGAATAGTTTCTGTTTGTCTGTCACTGTTTATAGCCGTGTTAAATCGTCGTTGGTTCATAGTTAGGTACTTCTCAGCGGATTATATTCTTTCGTTCAACCAGTAGTTTCAGTTCTGTGTGTACATCCTCAGGTAGAAATTAGTTGCTCACCTCTTTTTTGATTAATTGTTGCATGGATGGAGTAAGCACAGCTTACTAAGTCCGTCCAACGGAGTACATGAGCTGTGAAAGCAAACTAAGGATATGTGGGAAGATATACCTCCAGAATTTTTACAGAGATACAAATAAGGTATGCCAAATCGCATCCAGGAACTAAAAAAGCAAAAGGGTACTGAACATTGTGTTAATAGTTCTTTTTTTCGTGAAAATTGTTAAAAAGTTAATTTACATTTTTGACTGCTTGACTTCAAATCATTATGAGAGAGGAAGTACAGGTGTACTAATAAGAATATATAACAA